AGGGATTTGGAAAGGAGGATTAGAAAATTTTGTTATTAAATATTATGGATGTTTAGCTGGAATATTACATAAGGATTCAGTGTCAATGGAGGATTTTAGAAATAGTAAATGAAAGGCCAGTATGTGGTTATGTATTAAATCTTGGTATATTTTATGATGGACATTTAAATAATTATAGTCAAATGAAAATGGAGATATGATGATGGTAACGTATAAATATCTGAGTTAAAATACTTGAGTTAATATGAATTATGTTTGTTAACTATGGAAGAGAGGCACGAAAGTCTTTTTGTAACCAACTGATACACTTTCTACACCATGTAAAGAAGGATGTGTTGTGTTTGTTTTGAAAATTAAAAATAAAAAAAATATTTAAAAAAAAGAATAAGAAAAAGTCCTGCCCACCTCAGCGAAGAAGGCGGAGCAAAAGTTTACTCCGTTCTACAACAAGCCCTCGTAACGAATCCAGGAACAGGAAGCTCAGCAGCGCAAGTACTCTTCCCCTGGGTCAGAGAGGCAATCTAAATGCAGTTACAATAGGGACAGGTCCCGCTTCCAACAACAGAATAAGCGGCCCTTTCGTGGGGGAGGTGGTTGCCCTTACCGCCAGGGCAAATAGGTTGGGCTTGACCCCACCCATTGGTGGTCACCTGGCTCTCTTGTCCGAGGCATGAGCAGAGATTCCCTCGGCTGCCTGGGTGATCAGCATGGTCACACATGGGCTTCGGCTAGAGTTCCTCTCCATTCCCCCAAACTACTTCTGCACATTTCCCCCATCTCAAAATATAGACAAGCGCAGGCAGACGCGTCAGGCTATTAAGCATCTGCTTGACATTGCTGCAATAGAACTGGTCCCCTTGGACCAGGTGGGTCGGGGATTCTATTCAAACTTGTTTCTTGTGCCGAAGGCTTCAGGGGGTTGGAGGGCTATTCTTGACTTGAAGCTCTTGAACCAATATCTAGTTTACCGCAAGTTCAAGATGGCCTCACTTGTCCATTTTGGCAGGCATACGGGAAGGGGACTACATGGCATCTATAGACCTCCAAATCACCATTCTCCCACTGCATAGGCATTTCCTCTGGTTCTCCTATCTGGGGTGCCATTACCAATACAGGGCCTTGCCCTTTGGGTTGTCTTCTGCACCCAGGTCATTCACCAAGGTGCTGGCAGTAGTGGTGGCGTACCAAAGGGGTTTCCCCATTAGATTGCATTGCTACCTGGATGATGTCCTTGTCCAGGGGGCATCCCCAAGTCAGATGAGGGCGGTCCTTCTGCAGGTCATAGTCACCCTTCAAAGGTAAAGTTTTTCTGTTAACTTTGAAAAGAGTTATCTCATCCCGTCCCCTAGGATACTTAATTTAGGGGCTGTTATAGATTCCCGTTCAGGGAAGGCTTTCCTCTCCTTGGACCATAGGTCCAGTTTGGTTAAAATGGTTAAGCAGGTCCGCAGGGACCGTTATGTTCCCATAGCCCTTCTCTCCAGCTTGTTGGGAAAGCTCATATCCTGCATTGAGGTGGTACCGTGGGCACGGTTGCATGCCAGGACTCTGCAGTGGCGACTCCTACCGTTCCAGAGAGCCAACACCAGCAGCTCGCCGACTAAGGTCAAGGCCACCCTTCAGGTACTGATCTCTATCAAGTGGTGGCTGTCCCCAGCCTTGCTCAACGGCTGCGAGTTCAGGGACCAGGAGCACATCGTACTCACCACGGACGCCAGTCTGTTCGGCTGGGGGGCAACCCTGGGATCCCAGTTGGCGCAGGGTCGGTGGTCCTGGCAGGAACTCCAACACAATATCAACTGGTTGGAGCTCTGGGTGATTCGTCTGGCGCTTCGACAGTTTCGGATCTCCGTTGAGGGTCATCACATTCTGGTCCTCACCGGCAACGTGGCGGCCAAGGCCCACATCAATTGACAGGGTGCACACATTCCAAGGCACTGCACGACGAGGCAATGTTGCTGGGCAGCTGGATGGAGAGACACCTGCGGTCAATCTGGGCGGAGCACATCACGGGGATCGACAACCATCAGGCTGCCTGGCTGAGTCGAAAGACGGTGGACAATGGAGAGTGGAGCCTCTCCCTGGAGCTGTTTCAGAGCATCTGCCAGAGATTTGGACGACTGGTGTGGGACCTCTTCGCCACTCCGGCCAATGCCCAGCTTTCCCAGTTTTTTTCTTGGTTCTCAGCTCTGGGAACAGAGGGGATCGATGCCCTTCGCACAAGGTGGCCAGGCGGGCTACTGTACACTTTTCCTCCCCTCCCCCTCATTCCCGGGTAGTTCAGAAGCTAGTCAGGGAACAGGAAGAGCTGATCCTGGTGGCACCTCACTGGCCAAGGAGGGCCTGGTTTGCGGATCTCATGACCCTGTCGGTTTGGCGGATCCCGGAGGGGCAAATAGAGTTGCACCAGGGGAAGCTAGCGCACCCGGAGCCACACTGGCTGCAACTAGGTGTGTGGAGATTGAGCGGGAGTGCCTGAGGGAGACTCACCTGTCACTGCGAGTGATTAGAACCTTAGATGCCTTGCACAGACAATCCACTACGAGGATCTGACTCCATCTAGGTTTACTTCGTAGCCTGGTGTCAGACCAACCAGCCTCAGTTCCACAAGTCCTGGACTTCATCCAGTATGGGTTGGATAAAGGGGCACTGTGCGTAGGCAACTGGCAACTGGCTACCCTTGCTAAGGGCCTGGTCCCCCTCACCCAACTACCCATTGTTAAGAGGTTCTTCGGGGTGTCTCCAATCTGCACCCTCCAGTGGTCCAGATTCCCCACGTGGAATCTCCCTACCGTGTTGCATGCTCTCATGGATGAGCCTTTGAGCCGTTGAGGACGGTTAGCGTGAAGTTCCTTATCTTTAAGGTGGTGTTTTTAGTGGCTATCATGTCAGCTAGACGGGTGTCAGAGTTAGGAGCACTTTCCTCCAGGGAGGATTTGTGCGTGTTCTACAACAATAGGGTTGTGTTGAAGTTAGCTTTTATGCCAGAGGTGAATTCTATCTTCCATCGTTCCCAGGAGGTTGTACTTCCATATTTTTGTCTGGATCCGGTTAGGGAACGTGAACAGCAGTGGCACCGGTTGGATGATCAACGGCCCCTGCATATTTACTTGAAGCGGACGGCCTCCTTCTGGAGGTCGGAGGCGCTATTCCTATGTTTCCAACCTTCATCACTGGGTAAGAGGGTGACATCTTCCACCATTAGCTGGTGGATTCGCTTAGCTATTATCCTGGCATACGAGTCCCAGAAGTTCCCTGTGCCGGCCGGTGTTACGGCACATTTGACGAGCGCTGCCACCTCGGCTGCTTAGGCCTCCCAGACTTCGATAGGTGACATTTGCAGAGCGGCTACATGGGCGTTTCCATCGCCGTTCATTCGGCATTACAGTTTGGATGTGTTCGCATTGGCTGATGCAGCATTTGGGTGCAGGGTGCTACAGCAGGTCATTGCAGATCGTTCGTTCCCCACCCATGGGGCTTAGCTTTGGTAGGTCCCATCCACTGGAGCCTCCTGTCCCTCGCTCCGGAAAATGGCAGTTGGTCTTANTGTGGACTTCAACTCCCAGAGTTCCTCAGCCAGCTTTGAAGTCCACAAGTCTTAAAGTTGCCAAGGTTGGAGACCACTGCCTTAAAGTATATGTCATCCCAAAACTAGGGAAGGCTGATAACTCATAGCTGCCCATTGCTTTGTTTGTGTTGGATTTAACATTCACTTTCCACAAAGAAAATAAGGTGGGGAAAATCTAAAATTCTTGATAGCCACTGCCAGTCAAAATAAAGGGTACTGAACCAATTACTTGGTTTAACATAAATTCATTTATTTTGTTCCCACAGGTGTTTTGTTATGAATTGTAATGTCAGATTTCTGTGGTTTCAAACACTATCCATATATTTATAGTAATCAACCTTACAGAGGCTCATGGGGAAATATTTGTGATAATAAAGCAATAATTTAGGTATTTTTAAATGTATAAAATCATTTACTCACAGCTACAAGTGGGGCCAAGTTTAAAGGATTTTAAAATTTATAACAGGTTATTATACTGAGAAATTTAAGGAGTCATTGTTCCTCCAGCCAGATCTATTGCCAAGAGCTTTATTTATTTTAATTAGGTTTTTTTTAGATCATAGATAGCAAAAATTTCCAGATGGAAAGCAGGAAATATACAAGCAATCCAATTCAACAGGAGGAAGGAAGAGAAAGAGAGAGAGAAAGAAAGAAAAAAATCAATCAATCAATCAATCAATCTACTTAGGTGAAAGAATATTGGGAGCTTCAGTCTAATTTAGACATCAAAACAAATAAATCATAGTCTGATATCAAAAAGACATTAAGATTATAATACATTTAAGAATTCATAAAATTTAGCTGATTAAAAAAATATTTTAAATGGACAAGTTAGATTGTCACCAGAAAAGGAATATATAAATATTACAATTACCTGAAAGGAAGACGTTCCCAACAAAAATTGCTATTATTTTCTCAATCTAAGTTAAACCAAGAGCTGTTATCTAAGAAAATACAGTCTTTCAGGTATATCCTATAGTAAATACATAAACATCATCTGTATGCCTTGCATTTTGCTTAGAATAGTTGCTGCTAATGATGTTTAAAGTCATAAGATCAGAGAAACTGAGCTTATTTCCTTGGAAAAATTCTTGTTTTCATTTATATATTATTCAGTATTGTGCTGGCAGTTTTTCAAGTTTGTCTTAAGTAAACCATAAGTAGAAGCAGTCGACATTATTTCATATAGATGTAATTTCAAAATGTAATTTAAATAAAATCTCTTTGTATAAAAAATAAAATGTAGTTTCAATTTAGGACCTCTAATAGAAATATTCACAAATACCTATATAGCAATTCCATTCTGTGCATTATTTTTGAAAGATTTTGCTTCAGAATAAATGCTTGAATGTATTTTGCTTATTTGGGATATATCTATAAGTTATTATCAGCATCTCTGCTGTCTTAGGTGTTTCTTTTGCAGTCTATTTATTTTCACAATCTCTACAAAGCTTTATTTATTTATTTAGTTTGCAAAAAGCAAATATCATTATAGTTTTATCTACACTTCGTATCTGAGAGCAGTATCAGAATAGCTCCCTTCTACAGTTTAAAATGATTCAATATTCGAGCCTATGGTATTTTATACTGTATAGCAGGTTTTAATCAAGATTTCTTGCTTTGCAGTATGTCATTCCTCTAAGAAAGAGGGAACATTGCATGTATCTTCTCTCCCCTTGAGAGGAAAGAGGAGTTATCAGATCTAAATGAAAAACTAGGATCAATCTTCTGATAAAGTAATTATAACTGAATTGAATGTTATGAATTTCAGTACAGTAGGTCAGAATTTATCTCTGGGAATTCATTAGTGATTTTGTGTTTTGAAAACAATTATATTTTATCATACCTATTGTATATATTTAATAAGTTTAGTAAATATCTACTAAATAATAGTAGATTCTTTACTAATTATCTTAAAATGCTTTTTTTTACTGAAAGATTTGGGGTTCCATTGAAATTCTATTTGATAATATTTTACTTATTTATGGTAGAGGTGCAAAAAAACTGGGACCAACTTAATTTTTCAACAAGGATTGGTAGAGAAAACTTTTTTTTCTATCTGAAACCTGATACTAGTGTTTCTCTCTTCATTTGCTATGCTTGCAAAACAGTGTGACACCATCACCTCAACAGGTTCGTGTCTGCTCTCCCCAAAAGTTTTCTGAAGATGGACCTAGTCTTTACTCTACTCGGGGCATTTTGTCGCTTATCCAGTCTTCTACTCGTAGGGCTTACCAGCAAGTCTTGGATGTGCTGGATGAAAACCGCAGGTGATTGGCCATCACAGATTCTGCCAATTTACTGCTTTTTACTTCCTTTTAATTTTCTAGTTTATTAATTTTGTTTTTTTAAAGAAGTACACAGCATAAAAGTAATATTTTTTCATGTCTTTTCCTTTCTATGATTTATGAATGACGTTTCCAAAATTCACATTTCATGGATAGTTTATCATTTATTTGGACAAATTGAACATTTAAATAGCCAATTAAAATTCTTTTGTTTCTGAGTAGAAAAGGGAAACAGGGAGCTAAATACAGCTATACAATCCAAGATAATATGTTCTTTTATTTTCTCTTGATACAGTGGAATAACTTTTGTTATTTCTAACTGACTTAGAGAGTATAAAATATTTTCTTCTCATAATAAAGTAATCATAGATTTGTTTTTTTAAAGTAGATAATCATAACCCATTAACATTGAAGGGAATCATATTAAAAGTATGACACTGCATTTATTTGATCTCTAACTGCAATATTTATAATTCTTGTTGGAAAAAAATGCCTATAGCAATTTCTTCCTGAAACTTGCATGGAAAAGACAGCTTATGCAGTTTATATGCATGACTTTCAAATGTTTTGAATTATTTTTTTAACCTGTTGCCAGCTAACTAATTAATAAGGAATCTGTCAAATATTAGCCTAGACTTTGACATTTTATTAGATATAAAGTAAGAGCCATGACCTCCATTTGTCCCAAATAATTAATTTTTTCCATACCAAAAGAACCTGTTTTCATGTAAGCTGCACCTGTTTTTGAATCCAGTAATGTTTAGGCTTCTCTTATTTGTCAAGAGCAAAGGATCAGGTATTCTGTTATGCTGCATTCTGTTATGTCAGCAAAGCTTTTATTTAAAAACTTTTGTCCTTATGATCATTTTAAGATCAAATTAGAATCAACACAGGATTTAGTCATTGATTTTTTTAAAAAAATTCAGTTGAGATTATAATGATTCTCTAGAGCAATAGAACAATCTGTTAGCACTTCTATTGGAACATATTTCTTTAAAGATTACCTGTTTTAGAACTTTATTGTGCCAAATATAGAAGCAGTTCACTTTCTTTACACTAACACTTATGGTTTTATTTAAATAACTGACACACTACGTTCTATATTAAAACCTAAGTATCTTGCAGATGTAAAACTTAACTGCAGTACTTGCTTTCATTTTACAGAACTAGGTACATTCAGTTATCTCAGATTATGAGTCTTAAAATATTTTCTCAAAATTTTGAGAATCATGTTTTTAAATTCTATAAATCAATTAGACATAATTGAACCAAGTAAAAATAAGGCCTTGAGAAATAATCAAAAATCTAAATAGTTTATCTTTCTAGTTTATCTCAAATATAATTTTAAAAACCAAGTATCACATTTTCTTTTGAACCCATCTTCAGGGTAAAATTAAACTTCTAAAATTTGCATGCAGGAATGTGAAATTTGGAAATATACGGTATTACTTGCATGGCTACAGTTGCTGATTCTTTTACAATATTTTTATCTTATAGAATTGCTTTTTTGCTGTTTTAAGCATATTGTTTTATTTAAGCATAATATTTTAATTAACAGTAGTTTTTAAAACTTCACTTTTCTGCTTTATTTTTCTTTTAAAATATTTTCTGACTCCTGCATATTTCATCCATGCTTTGCATAACTACAGTATGTTCTATTGTCAATTAAAATGTTGATTATTTATCATGGCTAATTAGTCAATAATAGGATAAACTCTTTTTCTAACATTTCTTTTCTTAAAAACTCTCTTTGACAAACTTGATCTTAGGGGAAAATCTAGGATTCCACTATGAACGTGATACAAGTTTTGCTATCTTGAAAAAAAATCAATGTATCTGCCTTGTAATTAAGACATCTATAATTTGTATGTTACCGTTATGTCAGAAACTTTCATACTGAACTGCTGTATTAGTGGATAATTTAAAAGAGATAAATTCTTCCTTTCATGTTTGTCTACAATTTATATATCTAGCTTCGGCAAGTGTTTTATAATGTATATTTCATTTCAGACCTTTCAATATACCTTTGGTATTAGATATACTTTTCATTGTAAAAGTATGATACAATTCTTTTAATGTTTAATATAAGTTGCTCAGAGAACACAGTCTGTTTGTTGGTTGTAGAAATACAGTATAGTCAAATATGTCTAAAAGGTCTCATTAAATATTAGGGTTATAGAAAATCTTGGCAATAAGTTTTCTGAATATGATACAATAGAAGGACAAACATGACTAAGAAGTAGATAGACTAAATCTGAGCTGAAGTATTTCTGGCTTTTATATAAGAGTAAGCTAGAGATTAAATAGGCTTCTTTTTTGGAAGATATACTGCATTTTTTGGGAAGATATACTGCATTTTTTGGGAAAATTACTGCATTTGAATATTAAAGAATATTAAATTTTATGTTTAAACTGAAGGAAACTAGTCTTGAATGTTGATACGATGTGGTACTACTTAAAAGCTTTGTTAGTAATGAGTTGATAACTATTTTCCAGAGCAAGGGACAGGAGACTCCAGTGGATGGTATTAACACGTGCAATTGGCCACGAGACTGGGATGAAGCTGAAGCCATGCCTCTGTGCTCCACCCTTTCCTTTCCAGTTTCATCTCAGTCCAGCCAAAAAATGAGACCTGTTTTATATTTCTCCTGCAAGTTTTACTTCTACTAGACCCTCCTTGCCTCTGCAGCCTCTGAAAAATATCTCCCTGCTCGGACCAGTAAGCAACTCTGGGTGGTTTCCTTCCTAGCCACCAGGGAGGTTTACTTTGCATTGCTGGGGACTGGAGAGATCATTCGTAGTTGTGGTGGCCATTTTCGGCTCTGCTAAACACCTGGCGTCAGCCCCCGGGTATTTGGTGATCGGGAAGCTTGCGGGCTCAGGATTTCCAGCCCCATGGCCTCCCATCTCTCCGATTTACTGGTAAACAGCTTCGGTGGCTGGATTTGAGCCGCGGTGATTGCAGAGTGCTAGGAAGAGCGTGAAGAGGCTTTTAGTGGCTTCGGGCATGCAGCTGTGTGGCGAGAAGGCGCATGGGCATTTGATTGAGCCGAGGCAAGCCTCGGAGGTAGCCCCCAAGCACACAGCACTTGGCATTGATGCAGGGGCTGCCCAGATGGGGAGGAAGCAGCATTTGGACCTGCATTTATCTCTCCTTTGCCTGTTGCAGCTGAAGAGAGGGGGTTGAGAGGCTTTGCAAGGAGGGTGAGTATTAAATCTTTATTACCATGTGGCCAAGATGGTAGCGGAGGCAGGAAGGTCCCCTTCGCCCCCATGTTCCCCTGGGAAGGGCCCATTATCCAGGCAGCGGCCCACTGCTTCTGCCAGGGCTCAAAAGGCTGCTGCTGCATCTCAATCCTCTCGTGCCACCCAGAGAGATGAACCTAGGAGGCATAAGGCTCTTTCAAAGACTTTTTCCAGGACTGAGAAATTAAGGGCCCCACCCTGAAACACCCCCCCCCCCAAGGGTCTCTGGATTTCCTATGGAGGTTTTTTGGGGGAAGTTCCCCCTCCCTACCCCTTTCCCTGGAAGACCAGGACATGGACTTGGAAGATCCCTGTGTCCACGTGGATCCCATGGAGGATCAGGCCTTGCCCAGGCCCATCCTAGCTCCCCAAGCTGGGGTAGCTCAAAATCCAGAGAATTCCGGCTGGGATTCTTTGGATGTCGACAATCTCCCAAAGGGGTTGCAGAATCTCATTGAAAGAGCAATCTTCTTTAGAATGGGTTGCAGCAACAGGCTGCTCAGTCCCTAGCACCAGACCAAGGTGGGATCTTAGGGCCAGCTCTTCACAGGCTTACCCTCCATCTGCTTCTGTGAGCTGCCCTATCTCCCCTTCCCTGGTTAGTGAAGACAACCCCCAGAGAGATCCTGACATAGCTGAGGATGAGGAGGATAACAAGCCGGAACCTCCGGTCTTTACTGGCCTCTTTCCCCCAAATTTATTCCGATCTCTTCTGCGCAAGGCGTGTGCTACTGCACAGGTAGAAGAGGAGGAGGGGGTAAGGATGAAGCAAAGGAAGGGGCTAAGGAGGGAGCTGCAGAGGGGGCTGCAGCGAAGAAACCTTGGGGCCGAGTTTTCTCTGAACCCAAGATTGTGGAGGAGGAGATCCCTGCCCTCACCTTTTCCTGAAGGTGGTGAAGAAACAATGGGAGAAGCCGACCGCTTTCCCAAACCCTGGCAGCAATGACAGACATTTTTATAATATTGAGCCAGATTTTTTCCAGGCATTACAGCTACCCACTGTGGACCCACCTGTGGTGGCTTTGGTGTCTCCTCCGTCTCTGGTGGCCAAGACAACCTTAAGGCAGGTGATAGGAAGGTGGAGATGACTCTGAGGAAGACATTCCAGTCTGCAGCCTGGGCTATCAAGGCAGCGGCATCGGCTTCGTTCTTCAATCGCACGGCTATCCTGTGGATGGAGAAGATCCAGGAACTCATCCCCCCAGAAGATGTGGGGCTGTACCAGGACTTAAACAAGTTAGTGCCAGTGGTGCAGTTTTCGGCTGATGTCACGCTAAATGCCATGAAGTTTGCTTCCAGGGCTATGGCGTCGTCCGTTACCTCCCGTTGCCTTCTTTGGCTCCAGGGGCGGCAGGCAGACAGCAAGTCAAAGTGGCAGCTGGCGTCAGCCAACTACGCGGGGGGCTCCCCCTTCGGGGCTGCCCTTGACCCACTCCTCGCGGAGGACAAGAATAAGAAAAAAGTCCTTAAACTTGCTGATATTTATGGCAATTGGTTTGTTTTTGAAAATGCAAAGAATGGAATATTGAAAGAGGAAATAAATGGAGAGGAAATCTATCTGAAAGGGCAAAATATAGAAGAAGAAGGAAAAATTAAAGAATTTATGGATTATGAAACCTTATCAGCAAAAATATTGATAACACTGCTGACAATCAAAGATAAGTGGAGTAAAGAAACAGAAAGAGGGCATCAAGATTATATGAGAGATCATACAAGCAAGGAGTTGCTAAGAGACG